TTATGATATATATAATATTCAAATATAAAATTAAATCTCTATTCAATGCTTGATTCTTCAAACCCTCTGATTTGACCAAGGTGAAATTATCTCTTCAATATTATGATGTATATATTATGACCCACTGTTATACAAAATTCAGAACTCCTCTTTAGGATATACTCAAAGCACCAACTGGAGAAAAGATCTTACTAAAAATTTCACAACTCAGTTCACAAATCATGTCTCTGTGCTTACTTATATGAATAATACTCTCTAGATAGCAGATTATAGAATAGATCTCCAAAATATAATAACTATTGCAGACTTTTTCTTTACCCTCAACAGTATCTAAGTAAATTGGAATAAATCAATCCTGCTAACAAATATTAAGAACACTAGTGCTGTTAAATTTGTGTTTAATGACAAGGATATTTGGCTATCACCACTCTCGCATAAAGACTCTACTTGTTATCTTGGTGTCTGAATATCACTATTTGATAATGCCACATATATCAAAAATCAAGTTTTAATAGAATTCAAAAAAGTCAAAAATGTGCTAGATAAGAAACAGATTACAGCCAAACAAATTATTGCAATTTTTAATTCTGTAATCATCCTGTGAATTATTTACAAAACTAAACTGACCTTTTTACATACGAACTTTTGCAATATTATGATAGTCTCATTTTGGACTTTTTTCAAAAATAAGCTCTGTCTTACAAAGTCCTTACCTGCCCTTATTATCCACTTAACTTTTGAATACAATTTGGCCCACCTTATTGATAAGCAAATGTTAGCTAAATCCTCTGATTTCCTCAAAATGATAAATGATATCGCATTATTAGGCAATACTTCTAGGTTAAGAATCATGTACTTTAACTTTTAGAATAGTTATACCTATCATCTGTCACCAATTGGCCCTATAATGATCCTTTGAAATTTAAAAACTGGTGGTCTTCCTTTTTATCAGCTACTAAACTAGATGGTTTTACTTTTGGAAAATATTTGGACGAAAACTTTAATTTCACTTAAATCATAGACAACTTTATAGGATTCTGAATATTTATAATATGACTCAGATGTTAATTTGCATAAAGTTTATAAAAGAATTTTTTAATCTTACAATTTGAATATAAGTAGTATTATGTTAATTTTGTATTACTCATAATTCATATTTGCATAAATTAATTTTAAATTTGAACTAAGAGTTTAGAAATGCATAGTACTGATCTTTTTTTTGATAAAATGTAATATATTATAAGATGTTAAATTCTTTTGCCAATTATATTATTTGTTATATTTAAAATACTGAATTTACTTACTTCTAGTTTCTAATGTTCTCATGTTCTGATATTTTCTAATGTTAGCTTCCTATACATTCTGGTTTATATAAACATATTAGCAGTTAAGTACATTTTCTTTTATCTAGACACATTTTTTATTACGTGTTTCTTTTTAGCTTATAATTTGTGATTGTTCTCTTTTTCTCAAGTTATTTTTATTATACATAAACTTTTATATCTATATTAAGTGCATCTTATTTTACAAATTATGATAGGTTAGAAGTACTCAAAAGAACGCTTAAAGTAACATCCATATATTATTAAAGTTATACGCGTAAAAAAATTATTTGTATATGTGATGCAACAATTAAGCTCTCAAGGAAATGAGACAAAGATTATATTAATTAGCATGCTAGAAGTAAAGGATGTAAATGGAATGAAAGCCAAGAAATATTATATCATTATTTTAATACTCCTAAAAAACATAAAAGTAATAATTATTCTGATGAAGAATGGAAAGATTGGAGCAATGAAGTTAAGAATGCAATGGATGATAATGACATTATTAGTGTTGATGAATGTGAAGATGATGAAACTTTAGACATTATTATTGATATTGATTATAATAAAAATATTAATGCTTCTTCAAGTAAAAAAAAAGGGTATTTGTAGTGGTCTTTATTCTATTAGGATTTCAACATATATTGATTGAACTCCTGCAAAATTTGATAGTTCTTATCGTGTAGAAGTAATTGCAAAAGAATTATGAAGAAATAAATTCAAAAAAGTGTTTTCTAGAAAAAAACTTAATCTAAAAGAAAAAAGAATCCTTAATCAACAAATATATGCTGAGAATACATGGTTTATTGATCGCAAAAGTAAAATATCTTAATTTTTTTATTAATTTGTATCAATTAATTATTCATATTTTATAATTATAGGTAATTCTGTGTATGCTAAAGAATGTATTGGATTTGTTGATGAAAATTGTCAAAATAAAATCTGTTGTATTGCATGCTTGGAATTATGCTCAGATACTTAATTAGCAAATTAAATTGCTATAAAAACGCTCATTTAGTTGTCTGATTTTACCATTAGTTGGCCCTATTTTAAGAGTCCAGGATCTAAAACATGTTAAAAAAACTTGTCAAAATATAATTATGTCTAATGCATAAGTTTTATCACTTGGACAATTAATAGCACGTTTTGATTATTTTTTACATATCTCTCAACGCTTAGATTCTGTAATGTATAAACAAAATGTTGTAAAACTTGATCGTCAAAATGATGATATCACATATAGAGCTTTTTATTTATTTAATTTAAAACCTGTTTATTTGCAACATTTGGAAAATTCTGACGAAGAGATGTGTAGATTTTTTGTTTTACTATTCATATTTAATAAGTTTTACGAAATTACAGCTATAAATAAAATAAATTATCTAATTAGAATTTTTATATATTAATTATTAAGAAAAACTGGTTAATTGTTACTTTAACCGAAAAATTAATTCATTAGAACGTATTAAAATGACTATAATATCATTTTTTCCTTCAATTTTAGTATTAGCATATATTGAATTTATCAGAAATCTATCCCAATTTTATCAGTTTGAAAAAAAACTTTTTAGCCAATCAAAGTTACTCCATTCTCATATCATTAGCAGAATCAATGATTCTTCTCGTAAAGACACACTGTAAATATTATTTATCAGTTCCTTTACTCTTATAGATGTATGGATCTGAAGCAACTGAATATTTTTTTGATATAGCTCGTCAAATAACCTCTGATTTTACTTATAATGAACTATTTTATCTTATTCCAAAAATTGCACAATATTCTAAAGTATTGAAAAATAATATTAAATATAGAAAAGATAAATCAGTGTGTGAAGGTATAATAAATAAGATATAATATGAAAAAATCTTTTTGACTTAAATTTAATACAAAAATTTATTATTTAAGATATCATTTTGAATATAATGATACTGATTTAAATATTGATCTACTTAATATTTTACGTGACTGGCTAATAGATTCTGCTATATATGATTGTTTTAAAGATTCTTTTAATATTGCAGCAGAATTGTGTGAAATGTTAGGCATGAATATTTTGTCTGAAAATAACACTAGATTATCTTATGCTTATATGGAACCAATAATTTTAATTCAAAATCTGAAAAATCATGACATTTTAATAGATAATAGAATGAACAAACCAGATGAAGATTTACTTTTAAAGGAAAACGAAATTTCTATAGCTATTAATATTGCTTCAAAACAGACTGGTTCTTTTCCTTTATCAGATGATAATATACCTGAATTAAATGCAGAAGAACTTATTAAACAATTTAATTTAATTTAAAATACTCAATTTTCATTATTTCTAGATTCAGAAAATAATAATAGTAAATTAATTTTTAATTTTTATTTCATTATTTATTAAACTTTAAATTTAACAAATCCTAATTTAAATAATAATTAATAATTTAGATATTCAATATATTCTTTCAAATAAACAATTAAATTTTGTTCAAATAATAGAAATTCGAATTAAACATGAAGCCTATAGTTCAAAAATATTGGAATGTATATATCATAATAAACAAATCATAAGAAATAATAATCCAAGAATAATAAATCCAAATAAAGCAAGTCATATCATCGCATATTGTGTCAATAATGAAAATCCAGAAATGTGATTTATTATATAACATGAAAAACATTAGATGAAAAACAGAAAAACTATGGTAACAAATCTTGCATATTAACATAAAGAAGAATTTGCAAAAAATAAAGAATTTAAAAATAAAAAGAAATGAAATGTTCATTCACTTATTTGCGAAAGTAAGTTCTATTTATATTTATATACTTTTATATATTTTTTTTAAATTTTCTTTTTAACAATTAATTTTATACAGTTCTAAATATTGAATGCACTAATATTAATGTTAATAATTCTTTATTAAATAATCAATTTGTTATTGTGATTTTTGGCTCAACACTTTGTATTACACATGTTGTGGCTATATATTATAAAGTTTATAATTACCATTCTTATCATATAGAGAAATAACTGATCTTAACAATTTATCATATATTACACTTTATGTGTTTATACCAATTCATTTTAATATCTTTTCTGATATAACTAATAAAAAGTCAAAAATTTTTACACACCACTATCCTGATAATATTATCTATCATTTAGCAAATATAGATGTTATTGTAACTGAAAATTCTTTGAATTTAAAAGGATTTGAAAAGAATATATACAATTACTTTAATTGTGAAGATATAAAAGAAACAATACTAATTTAATACTAGTTTAATAAATAAAATTTATTTCTTATATAAAATTGAATATATTGACTAAGATGTTGAATTTGCTTATTTTAAATGATTTTTTAAACTAAGATTTTAGTTTGTGTAGAGTTTT